GGTAACCCATGTCTCGAATTCTGAACAGGGGCACAGACCTTTTGTTGAGGGGGAACCCACTCTACAGAGAGTGGCGCCTCCGTTCAGTCGGGCAGCCATCGATCTCTTTGCCTCACGCGAAAACGGCTATTTTCTATGCTCTTCTTGCTACGAGACAAGGATGTCCCCCTCAGCGTGGATACACTGGCCCACCCATGGCCCAATGTGCTGCTCTACGCATATTCCTCCACTCTGCCTAATATCTCCTACTGTGGTCAGGGTCAAAGAACAGAGCCTGTCTCTGATTTTGATAGCACCCAGGTGGCCCAAATCTCCATGGCTGACAGAGATAATTCCTCTTCTGTATGTCCAGCCATGGCCCCTGCCATTACACATGGACCTCCTGTCCCAAGTGAACAGGGAAATCTACAATCCTCACCCAGACAGTGTGGCCCTCTGGGCCTGGCCCGTGAGAGGGAAAACTTAAACACATTGGAGATCCCCCCATATATTGTTGCTACCATTCAGAATGCGAGGGCCTCTTCTACATGCTCCCTTTATGATTGCAAGTGGCATGTGTTTGAGGAGTGGTGCGAGGGGCGCCAGCTGATCTCATATCAGTGCTCAGTAGTTGACATTTTTGTTTGAAGACCTTATCGATGGTAGTAAATCATTTTCCATTATTAAGGTCTATTTAGATACAGCTATCGCTGTATGTCATGATGGCACTACAGTGGGGAAACACCCCCTTATTCGTAGATTTATGAAGGGCACTCACCGTTCCCTTCCAGTCTCTAGAAGAGCAGTTCCAGAATGTGACCTCTCCATGGTGTTGGAAGCCTTGTCTCAGCCTTTTGAGCCCCTGGTAGATATCTCCATTAAGCTTCTATCATTCAAGGCAGCTCTGCTCCTGGCCTTGGCATCAGCCAAACGTGTCAGTGATTTGCACGCACTCTCTGTTCATCCCTCGTGCACTAAATTCTCTCTCAGTGGAGATAAGGTTTTTCTCAGGCCTAACTTGGCCTTTATGCAAAAATGCTTCCCAGCATTCACTTGTGAGGTGCTTTTGCTTTTCACCCTCCTCCTTTCTCCTCTGCGGAGGATCATAGGCTATATATATATATATGCTTCCAGCATGATGCGTGTTGTCAGGTTTTGTATGCATGTTACCACATGTCAATTCTTTTATGGCTGGTATTGCATTCTCACTTTGTGGGGGATCTGATACTTGGTGACATGTCAAGCACCGCCTTCCAGGTGACTGTCCTCTGGCTTACAGGGCCTCACTGTAAGTGTACTGGGCAACCGGGGGAGCTGTCCATATCTCCCATAGGTGGATCTCGAACACAAGATGATGAAAGAGAACAATAGGTTACTGTTCATAACCCCGGTTCTCTGAAAAATTGAGTGGAGAGATCCACCAAGTTTGCCCCACTTGCTGCACGAGAAGTGAATATGCTCACTGACGAAAGGTAGTACGTGCAGGGGTTTTATGCACTCGGTTAAGGGGCGGCCCCTTACCTGCCATTGGGCACACTCTCCTGTCTGTCAAGCCAGACTTGGTGCAATTAGATGCTTCTGCCGAGGTCAGGCACGGATGCCCTTCCCATAGGTGGATCTCTCCACTCTATGTTTTAGAGAACCGGGGTTACAAACAGTAACCTATTGTTACAACACAACAGCAGTATGACGCAATTAAATGAATGAGCCTCTTAGCTTAGATAGCAGATTAATTACCTCACCTGCTTTCACTCGCTATTAGGTGTGTTCGACTTGAAGCAGTGCTGTGCAGATTGATCGGTGTTTGACATCAAAGTATGCGAGAACGATTCGAAAGCTTACAGAACTGTCTGCTCTCCATAGCTCTCGCAGTACTTGGATGTCAAAATCGGTCTGCGCAGCACCGCTTCGAGTTTATAAAATGTGCGTATGCACAGATTTGATCTTAGAGTGTGCGTACGCTAAAATCCACGGCAACGTTCATATGTATAAAAACGGTCTTTGACATGGAAAAGTACTTACCGCCACGTCAGGGTCTGAGCAGGCGTAAGCACTTTTCCTTGTGGCAAAGTCGGAGTACTGCAGCTATTTGAACATCTAAGCTGCAAAAATAATAAAAGCGGTGTACGTGCAAGCACCGAATTCATCATGAACTTGACTGCATCATTCATGCTAAGATGCAGTTTAAGAGATTAATTGTGCAGTGTAGTCAGATTTTTTATTAACGGTAGTTTTTGCGAGATTAAACTGACCTAGTAGCCCAATGTTGAGAGTTCTTTACTCGTTTTCTGTACACGGTTTATTCCATGTTTTTTTAATTATTATTTTATTTTACAAGAGAACTTGCGAAGTCCTGCTTTAGCCTACTACTAATGCGTAAAATTGAAAAAAAAAAAATGCATAAACGCATCTCCGACTGTTTTGCCTGTGTAGCCTAGCCTATAAGAATAGGCCTATGTCGTGCAATAACGGTTTTTAATATATTCTATTCAATAACATTGTTAACTCTTTTTATTTATAACATCTGTTGCTTTGCTTCTATGAAAATGAATAGACATCAGCCTCATACTTTGTTTTTGTCATTTACATCAGTTATATTTGTAAAAAATACACTATATATTTTTGTGTCAGTACATTAATGGCACGTTTGAGCAGCATTAGTAAACTGTGTAAATATAAAGAAACGCCAAATCACATGCAGGTTTTTTCCAGAGACCATAATCGTGTAATAATTTATTTTATTATGATATGAAACGTCCAATTTTTCTTTCAATAATGTTTTTTTTTTTTAAGTTTTGCAAGAATTTTGTGATATTAAACTTTTTATTAGTTGTCACTTTTTATATGACTGAAAATTTTACTTGAATTCGTAGTTTATTCTTACATTTGGAAACCTAATTGGTTTATAATTATTATTTCTGTTGTTTCTAGTAGTAATTTTGATAAGTCAATTGAAAAAATATAACACACACAGTTTGTCCACAGAATAATTACACATTATGAAATAAAAAGCGTCCCCGCACGAACCTCTACCTCCGCCAGCAGCACTTCAATTTCAGACTCAGTAAAGTTTTTCAGAGGCCCCTGTTCTCTGGGTGTTCCGAGAGTTTGCGAAATATTGTCGTCATCAACAAGAATGTTACCGGAAGCTGCTTAGCACTGTCGCTAAGCAATGAGGTTTAACAACTTGTGCAAATAATTTAAGGAACAAGCACTGATCTATAATAGAGAATAGTCATTATATAGATCAGTGGGATCGTCACTTTTCTTTATTGCCTGCAGGATCAGCTGTCGAATGTCAAATCAGCCAAATTTCAGAAAATGTCCAAATTCCTTACATGTGATCTTTAAGGCATTATAAATAAAAATATAACTGAATAATGTGTTAGCGCATGTTCTGATTTTTGCAGAAGAAAAAAAAAAACGTAGAAATTTTGAAAAAGCCAAAACATTAAATGCTTTTGATCAATATTTAATACATTGAGAAATAATCCATTATTTTGTGTTTTATATTTTTTCCTATGATTTGCAGCAAAACTATAGGTAAGACAACAAATAGGCCCATTATCGGAAAGATGTTTGCGTCATTATTTTGTCTTTATGTTAGACTCATAAACCCTGTCGACTTTGTAACATACAAATTACTCCAAAATTTAAAATAAATACACTTTATATTTTTAAGAATTATTTTTATTAGGGTATGTACATGCGTTTCCAATGCAACGCTATAAACGGGGTCTTTTCTTAAGTATGGACCTGTACAGATTTAAATAAAAATTTCAATTTGAGCCACATTAACAGGCACCTTGATATCAATTTGAAGTCAAATATTCAAGACTTGATCAAGATGCTGTAACATCATTATAAATTAAGTTTGGACGGCAATTTCATCCAGTGGTAATTGAAATTGGTTTAATGTATATGTAGGCCAGCATGTTTGACATTCAATTTACATGAAATCAACGTCATGTCACATTTTTGACGACAGTTTGATTTGTGTATTTTCCGTTTTTTTTACCAATTGCCCACTCGGTATCCCACAATGCCAAGAGCTCAAACTTTAATTTCCAGTATGATCATGATGTTTGTGATTAAACTGTCAAAATCTAAGATGGTTTTACAAGAAAAAAAATGCTATAAAAATGCTAATTTAAATGATTAAATTTAATATTTAATGGTCGTATACGGTAGGCTAGTTCTCCATTCTGAGCAGCACAAGTAGAATACATGTAACAGAGGAACACAGAATTATTTTTAAAGCTTTTTCGTCGGTTCAAGTGAATGTGTCCAAAACAATTTATTTAGTGAAATGAATTAAATGACCACTAGATTGCACTATATTCATGTTTAATGTAAAGTTGTTTACAGTGTCATTTTTGTACAGTTGCACCATGATTAATCGTAGAATTTACAGAAAGCTCATTTAAGGAGCTTTTCCCCATTGTGTTCTATAGATATAATTTTGATTTGTGCAAATCTTTGAGCAGTTTAATACAGTCACAAGCTGTAAAATACTGCTATTGGAATGGAAATTAAAAGCAAATCATTCAACTTTTTTTTTTTTTACAGCTACCTTTATTTTTATAAAAATACAAAACAAACAAAAAAAAAGTTTCCATAGGAAAGCAATACAGATGCAATCCCATCTCTTTCATATCCATTTCAAATGCATCAGTGGCATACATTTCAGGTCAATAATAATATTAAAATTAACTTACTAATCAAGTATAAAATGGAAATGGTCACTGAGGAGGAAATCTGTACGAGTCTGTGTGAAGGGTAAGATTTTCAAAGATTGAAAAGCAGCCATTTCAGTTAAGAATCTGGCCTCATCTTACAAGTATGGCAAAAAAAAAAAGAAAGAAATACACAGCCACAGGACTGTGAGCATTTTTGTGCGTCTTTCAGGTTTGAGCATTTGGAACTTATACAAACGGAGGAAAAACAGCTGCATTTAGAATAGAAATTTAGCTATTGTTATTCAACAGCACATATTTGGATGTGGTGGACAGGGTTTCATATCCATTTCAAATGCATCAGTGGCATACATTTCAGGTCAATAATAATATTAAAATTAACTTACTAATCAAGTATAAAATGGAAATGGTCACTGAGGAGGAAATCTGTACGAGTCTGTGTGAAGGGTAAGATTTTCAAAGATTGAAAAGCAGCCATTTCAGTTAAGAATCTGGCCTCATCTTACAAGTATGGCAAAAAAAAAAAGAAAGAAATACACAGCCACAGGACTGTGAGCATTTTTGTGCGTCTTTCAGGTTTGAGCATTTGGAACTTATACAAACGGAGGAAAAACAGCTGCATTTAGAATAGAAATTTGGGTGTAAATCGGTGGAGAACTATGATAAACCGCTGTCTGAATGGGGACTCGCTCTCGCTCTGGTAGTCAGTGTTGAAGAGCATCACAGCACTTGGGTAGGGCATGGCTTGGCTGGCACATCCAATGTGCTCTCGTGTCCACAGTGGGATGGCACGCTTCCAGTGCAGAGCTCCTCAGCAGGAAGTGGAATCCCGCGAGCACGGATCTGCTGCATACACTGCCTGCAATGAAAGAGTCAATGAGAGCTCAGTCAGTCAAAACCATTTTCCTTTAACCATTCTTTCAGTACAAGATTTGTTTGGATGGTGTTTTTAAATTAAATTTTATTTCTTACCATTTTTAATGTAATACAATATTTTAAGAATAAGCACAATTTACTGAAGTTACACACTGACAAATTCAATGTTATTCATTGTAATAGTTTTTATTTTTGTATTTTGTTTTCACTTTAATTTTTTTAAATCTTATGACGTTTATTAGTAATATTGTTGCGTTTTGTCATTTTATTCACTTTGTTGATCCTGCTTGTGTGGATTTGTTAATTACGGTTTAATTTTTGTTTCAGTTTTAGTTTAATACATTAAGTGACACTACATTTGTTATGATTTTAGTTAACTATAAAAACCCTGAATCAATTAAATAGTTACAATGAATTAAGGGATTCAAACCAATTCATTCGGAGTTTGACATCAGTAAGCCTTTCTGACAGATTAATTGAACAGAAATGGCTCATTTTGGTATGGTGTTCGGTCTGCTTTGACAATAGAACTCAAACATTAAAAGAGCTGTTAACGAAGCTGAAAGTAATGAAAATGGGCTCCCAAATCCTACTTACCAGGCTGTGCGGGACATGATGTAATGGATATCGGGTTTCTGGAAGCCATTGAAGGTGGAAGATGCGGCTACAGTGTAGGCACCCATGTTCTCAAACAGCAGCCAGTCGCCCACCTGCATGTCAGGCAGGCTGCACTGCTCCACAATCCGGTCCAGCCCATCACAGGTCGGGCCCCAAATACTGCATGGGTACATGCACTCGTCGGGCTTGGGTTTCTGCAAAAGATTATGGGTTACAGGTTGGTCTTAGGGAAGAAACACCATCTAACACAAACAGGAATCTGATGGACTCATTTCCGTACCTTGTGCAGAGTTGGCAGGACATGCGCATGGTCATACAGAATGCAGTTGAAGGAACCATAAACACCATCGTTCACGTAGTACATCAGGGTTCTGTCATTGGCCCCATCCTCTTCTTCTGGAAAAATAAAAAAAAATTAAAAGTTAGTTAAATCAAATCATTTTTATGTAATGCTTTACACACTACAGATGGCTTCAAAGCAGCACCTCAGGTGTAAACGGGACAATAACGGGGTTATTCATTGCTGTTAAATTGATAATATTACTGAATATTAGTGTCTAGTTACTGAATATAGTCCTTTGATTTAAAGTCTGAGAATGAACATTTTAAGAGCACTCTAGAAACAAACATGGTTTTGAATGTTTGCTTTTACCGTCTGAGGACGATTGCTCCTTCATGATGACCTTTTTGGCAATGATGTTGACAGCCAGCGTGTAAGCAGACGCTACATAATAGCGGCCAGGTTCAGCAATGATCCTCACACCGCAGTCAACAGGGAAATATTTATCAAGTGCAGGGTTAATCACAGCAGCGATCTGTCAAGCAAAAAAAAAAAACCCACAAGTTAAGTTTGGTATCACCTAAACATCTTTGGTCACTTGAAGTTAAGATGGTGATTAAAAATAAATACCTCTTCAAATTTCAGTTTGGTGTTATCAGAGCCTGGAAAGCCTCCGCCAATATCAAGCAGGGTCATGTTATATCCCAGCTCCGCCTGGTGGACAACGCATTTTTCAGGCTAAGTATATTCTATTGAATAAATTAATGTATTTTGAATTTTTATAGTATAAGGCCACTCACCCCCATGTCAAAAACAAAGCGTGCATCTGAGATTGCCTGGCTGTACGTCTCAGGATCAGTGCAACCGCTGCCCACATGGAAACTGACTCCAATCACATCCAGCCCGAGCTCCTTCGCCCTCTCCAGCAACAGCCGACTGCACTTTAACGTGGCGCCAAACTTCACACTTAACCTGCACACGGCTTTGGAGTCGTCAGTGGCGATACGGAGAACCAGTCTACAGCCAAAGAAAATGTGTTTCATTGACAGGAAAATCATCACAATGCACAAAATCATATTTTGTTTATATATCATTTACACTTTTAAGCAATGTTTTTTTTAAACTGTTGCATTTTCAAATAATAGTTATTCTAGCAAAACGCACAAAAACAAATTTAATTGCAGTAATTATTATACTTGTTTTATTGACTAATGCCAATTTAAATGGTCAGATATCACATATAATCTGCTTTATATCGGTCATCGGCCACCCTGTTCTCGACCATCAAAAACATCCATATGAGTAGACCACTATATGAAGTGAGACTTGGTTTTCTAGTGAAGTTACTCACTTGGCATTGTCATGGCATCGTGCCACCTTCATGAGCTCCACTTCACTGTCAAACGTCATCATCTGCACTCCATGAGCAGAGGCGTATTTGATCTGAGACACCTGCTTGCAGGGATTGGCGTAGATGATCCTGCTTGGCTCCACACCCACAGACTGCACCATCTGGATCTCAGTCTAGCAGAGGAGACGAGGAGTAGAGGTCGGGTTAATACAGGATTCACGCTGCTAAACATTCTTGCAGTTCGGTGCTGATGTCGTGTGCTCATTGAGACACATGGAGAAGCCACATTCGTGATTTAAGGAACTTGAATGAAAGATCTTCCACATACCTTGCTCGCACAGTCGAACCCGGCTCCCAGAGACGCCAGTGTCGTGACGACAGCCCTGCTGTCATTACACTTCACTGCATAGAACGGTGTGATACGGGGTAAAACGCGCAACCAACGGAGGTGCTTCTTCAGGACGTCACCCAGGTCGGCCACATAGAAGGCATCTTTGTCATCCTAAAAGAAGAAGAGATGGGATCAGAATGGTGGATGGCATATGCAGACCCATTTAGGGAAAATTATAATATTATAATAGCAAAATCCAAATGTATTAAAAAAAGAAAAAAAAAAAGAAAAAAGCATTTAGGTATGACAAAATGTTCACTTACTGATAGTGATGACTCGTTGATCTTCTGCTCCACGATATCACGGGCACAGAACCCCTCCTCCAGGAAGGTGAAGTCAAAGTCTGATCCAGTCAAAGTGGTCATGGTGTCAAAAGGTCAAGAAACTGTTAAAGAAAATGACAGGAGTGTTATAAAATGTCACCTCTGAGATAAACTCCACTCAGTGGCTGTTCAAGACCAGGAAAGACTATCTGTCTGTGTACACAAAGTAGCGCCTTATCTTTGCATCAATGACAGATTAGAGACTGTACAAAGGCAACACACTGACCGCGATCACGGGGAACTGCAGCTACTGTGCATTACACATGCTACAAATCAGTGTTAATTTAGTATTATTGAGATACTATTATAGTTATTACATTTATTTAGTTTGTTTAATTTTTATGTTTTCCACTGTCATTGTTTTAAGTTCTAATAATTTTGTTTTAATAATTTGTATTAGGTTTTAAATACAGCTATATATTATTACTTTATATTTCGGTTTTATTTCAAGTAACAAGTGCTTTTTTCGCCAACTATAGTAATAATAATAATAATAATAATAATAATAATAATATCCACTGAACACAACCAGTGTATGTTGTTCTGTGTCAGCTGCACCACACGGGTACATCGTTTTCGTACAAATCAAAGCACAAACAATGTAGAAAACGTATCTGCGTGGCACACCTGACACAACATACGCTGTTTGCGTTCAGTGGATACTCTCCAAAATAGTGATAGGGTGACGATAGGAGACGAATTGTTGAATAAAGTCTTTTTTTTTTTTTCTTTTGCGCACAAAAAGTGTTCTCGTAGCTTTGTAATACTACGGTTGAACCCCTGATGTAACGGATTATTTTATAGATCTCCTTGCTACGTTTCTGGACCTTGAACGTGGTAGTTACCTTGCTGTCTATGGGAGGGTCAGAGAGCTCTCAGATATCATCAAAAACATCTTAATTTGTGTTCCGAAGATTAACGGAGGTCTTACGGGTTTGAAACGACATGAGGGTGAGTAATTAATGACAATGTTCATTTTTGGGTGAACTATCCCTTTAATCGCTCACTGGTAAAACTTGAATTTAAAAGGTATAAAATTACACAGATCCTTAAAGAGGTTTGAGTTTTCCATGTCACTTTACTTGATGCTCTCAAAGTCAGAATGACTCACCAGATGAATGGAAGAGATGGAAGTATAATAGTATAATGTGGCTAACAGATGTCGGACAGCCAAGGAGGTTCACCAGTGAAGTTGAATCCTTTCAGATAAGCCTCAAGGCCAGGGCCAGTGTGTACTTCTCCCAAGCAAGAATTCTGCAAGGATTAAAATGACAAGAAAATATTACGTCGATCCCTTCACAGCCTAAAGTACAGGAAACAAATCAAGTCAGTTTTCGGTAACTCTCATTGTGTCAAAGTATCAAAGTTGCGACACACAATCTGTTGTTTATCGTAACAGTCCATTACGTGTAAAATTAGGAAATGGTTTCCCAATGAAGCTGGCACCCGCACACACATTTTTGGACACATATGATGCCGAGAAGCAACTTCGCGAGGACGGTAAAGTTAGTCCCGCCCCTGCGGAGAGCGCTACACAAGTTACCCAATAAGGAAAAGCTCTGCTTGGACAAACTATAACAGGCATCTCTGTCAGCCAATCGCGCCGGCTTCTGCTTTCGGCTCAGCCAATAGAAAGCGCTCATTCAGGCTAGTTAGTGAGGCTCCGCAGCGTGAGACTCCTGACGGACTTCATTCATTGATCTTAAAAATAACCGATAGCATTAACCAACGAACCTAGTAAATATTTCAGCAACTCCACGTTTGTCAACATAGCTGGCTCCAACAATAAAGATCTGTTACATCACTTAAGGTCGAAGTTAGATCCACGCAGGAAACTGTGACACACCGGCCACGTTGACTCGGAGGCCAACAGCGTCATAACATACGACGCAACTAAACGAGCCACACGCATTAATATTAACTAGTTCGAAAAACTATTTTAGCGGATTTCCCATCGGCTAGTGACTTCATTTTTGATTCACGTTTGACGGTCCTGAAAGCGTATCCCGACATAACGGATAAGACCTTAATTTCGCTTAGTAATATCGCATAACTTACCTTAAAACGCATTTACAAAGAGTGTTCCCATTAGATCAGAGTGCTGGAAATGAAGAAAGTCGGCGTTGACCCGCACACGAACGGCTGTGGCGATCTGACTTACTAGCTTACGAGCGGAGTGCAGCCAGAGCTGGAGCGCAGCAGTTATATAGTGCGGTGGTTACCATGGTGACGCGCCAGCTGAAACCGGCTTCCTCTGAGCGAGCGAACCGGTTTGTTCTTGTTAGCGGCTTCGCGCGTGAGCGTTTGTAGGAGTGAAGAAAGAACAGATTTCCCGCGAGCCAAAATTACATTCTCAACTGGTATAAGATTAATAATAATTATGATACTTAAACCTACCACAGGGGCGGAGCCAGCACCACTGACGAAAGCTTGGCCACCCCACACGCTCTATATCCCTTCATCATCAATAACCCGCACAAACTATCTAGTTCTGTTCTCAGCAAAGTCATGAAATTACCAAAAAGGCGATTAAAGCTGCAAACTGTGCATCGCAGCACACAAGAACGTCTCTCAAATGCATACTAAAATTATTTATTATATTTATATAATATTTATTTTGGGGGAATATCGAGGAAAAGCAGTACTTAACCACTGATTTCTAGTCGTGTCCTCTTTTGGAAGACCAAACAAAGCGAGCGAACCGAGAGATTTTGCCCTGATCTCGAGAAACTCTGTGATCCATGACGACTGCATTGCTGTGGCCGGGAATATGTTTCCCAGATGCAAATGAGCCCGGACACAGCGTCACACACGGCGAGCTAGAGTGAGCAGAGGTGGCGGATTCGACGAAGAAGGCTTGCAGCAACCACATGTGACGACCCCGGGCTGGACTCCGCTTAGAGAGGAAAAATTGAAATCGCATCATATGACCCCTTTAATTAAAGCTTTAGGATTGGGCCAATGCGGATGATGTCATGTGGAGGAGAGTTTCTGTGCCTTTGTAACTTTTCCTTCCTTGTAATTGGGCCATCTGGTTCCAGTTACCTCACTTTCAGGACAGCAGCTTTCAGTCAACATGCTGCAACACTTTGCTGAAGATGCCAAAATGGATGTTTCCTCACATTTTGCACAAACGTCCACTTTTATCTTTGCTCTGCACACTTTGTTGTCATCCTGCCAGATGTGATGAAATTAGGAGTGGACGCTACACCTAAATATACCAGCCCTAAAACTCCCCATAATCAAAGGAGTGGACTTATATCCTGTGCACCTGGGGCCAGAAACAAATACATTTTCCACTCTTCTATTTACTATAAACACAATAGGAAAATTTGATCCATTAAGGCATTTGACGGCATTACAAGTGCTGTAGACTTCACTGTATAGACTGCAGAAGCATATCAGTTGCCATCACTTCATGATTATTTGATCTTAACAGCCGACTATCAGACAGCTGCTATCTTTGAATGTGAATAGTTAATTCAGTTCTTTATAGTCTTTCAGTTGGCTACAGACCAATGAAATTATCTTTACTACCGCATGTCACCGCAATTACCTTAAACTGTAGTCAAATAAGTTCACCTACAGTCTGGGTCATAACATTCGTAATTATCTCAACATATGCAAATGTAAGTCTCTGTGAATCTACAGGTTTAATATTCATAGAGTTGTGCTCCTGTAAATGAAAATGTCACCATTTGTAAAATCTTAGAATATAGAAGTTAATAGAGCAATTAACACACACTTTTTATTTGATCTATTTGAAATGCATGCGGCCAACACTAGTCCACCTGAATAACTGTCAATCACTTCTAATCAGTTAATGAAAAATCACATATCACGTTTATGAATGTATACAGAATTGAACTTAAGTTAGAAATGTTTCATTAAAAAATCGTTTAAGAGACATTTAGAACTGGAAAAGCCATAAACCTCTGTATTTCCATCCATATTCTCACATACTCGCTGTGGCTTTTGCCCTGATCTCGAGAAACTCTGTGATCCATGACGACTGCATTGCTGTGGTCGGGAATACGTTTCCCAGATGCAAATGAGCCCGGAGCTTTTCTAATTCATCGTCTTGCAGAATCCAGACAGACCTTTCCAGAACTCTTGATTTTTCCTTCAGAGGTCAACTAGACCATGAGGTCATTGTTTATGACTCTCCTCAAACACCACAAGCCACATCACTTTTTCATGAACGCAATAATATTTAATGGGTAAGAAGGTTCCTATGTCAGTTTTCCCCTTCCTTTACTATTTTAAGGCTCCATACAACACATTTAATATGACAACATTTTCCACCTTTGTCAAGATGTTGAGATGTCAGTCGGATTTCCTAATCATGCATTGTCCTCAGAAGTGAGACATCACGGAAAGGAATTAAAGATTGGCCTACTTCATGATGTCTCTCTTTTCAATAAGGCTCTTTTCCTCTATTTAAAACAATGTCGGATGTGCAGTTGACAATTATTGTAATACACTGGTGTTTACAGCTGTGTGTTTGTTTGGATAGAGAGAAAAAATGGCACATGCACAATATCATCTATGTATTCATGTTTCCGAAATAAGATATACACGACACTAGGGGTGGGAATCTTTAGTTACCTCACGATCCGATCCGATCCGATTCTGAGAGTCACGATCCGATTCCAGAACGATTCTTGATCTACTTTTCTTGATCTACTTATTAATTAATTAGTTTACCGACTTGAGAATCTTAAAATCCGTCCAGAACGATTCTTGATCTACTTTTCTTGATCTACTTATTAATTAATTAGAATCGTAAAATCCGTACATTTACATATCCTTACATAAGTAATGAAGTACTTTTTAAAATAATTACAAATTGAAAAAAAAGTATTAAAACAGTTGTATGTTAATAATTTTAAACTAATATAACTTCAAAACATACAAGCAAGTAGCAAATAATAAAGAGGAGCATAGAAACATATTACAAACAACAAACAAAGAGTGCTTTCAGTATTTAAGATTATCTGAACGTTTTCCATTCAAGAACTGTGAGTGATTTTTCTTCATCTTTACTGTTTTTTTACTACTGTTTTTTACTATGACATCATAGACAGCGGGAGATCTATTAAGCTGCATTCATGCACGGATCTCTTTTGAAATATAAGAAGTAACTTAATGTGGCTTGTCCTGTCCGTTTAATCCCTTAAGACATAACTGGCTGTGTCTACATTAATTTTGCATCATAAAACCATTTTGAGAGTCACGCACAGCCGCATGCGCGAGCAGTCTTCACAAACAAAGCGCGTCAGCATTTGAAATTGAAAGCAGCCTTCTGTTAGTTAGGTTCATATTTTAAATATATAAGTCCACTGCATTCCAAACCACATAAATGATTTCAGAGATTGAGAGATTTCACTGAAAACTGCTCAATGTTTTAAAGCAGACAATAAAACGTGTTTAACCTCAGCTAACTGTGCAATTGTTGCTGCAACAGACGTATGTTTGGTTGTGAAATTCCAGTAGATCACTCAATAGATCACATTTAATATTTAAGAAATATGTTTACAAATATATTTATTGTGACTACTGAAATTTGCTGACGTCGCTCTCCGCACTTCCGCTTGCAGCGGTCTGTCACGCCACATCAAAGAGCGTCAAAACGGCATTTACGGATTTAATTTCCTGATAAAATATACAATTTTAAAGACTGTTTCTTATCGAAAAGAACAAAACAAACCTTACGATTACAGAATGTAATGTATAGTGAAGGATTTATTCATGGCTATGAATTGAAACTGATTAAGTTCCGCACGTGCAGTGGTTAAAATTACACCGTATTTGTTCGGTACGAATGTGTACCATTACACCCCTAGAAAACATTTAAAACACCAAAACTTCACTTACCTGAATAAGAATGTGTCTGGGCAAAGGCTGTTGTTGTAAATATGGAGCTTTTTCATCATCTTCTTCTATTTTAACGGCGATTGAAAGAGGAAGCAGAGCGGGAAATAACGGATATATTTTCAAAATTTCAGTAATCCACCAATAGGAATAAGGGAAGACACAAAGCAACCAAGAGCATTGTTGAATGGGCTGAGATGTGGACTGCCACTAACCTGCCAGCAGTTGATAGGTGTTTTTCCAAATAAAAGCCAAATGTTAACCACAAGTTAACATTCCATGGTGTGCCAAAGCAAAGCCACATATGGCACTCAGTTGTGTGCTATCATCTGGACCATATTTAAAAAAAAAACAAACAAAAAAAAAAAAACAGTCATCCAAAAGAAAATTCCCTCCAATTCTAAAGCCATGGCAAAACCGATATGGTTAAAGTTTGGCCCATATGTGCTCAGCCATGCCATACCTAGGCCAAATGTGACAGCTATCAGCCACATTTGGCCCAAACGTTCTTGCTATCTGGGTAACATCAAACAAAGCGCGCGTCTCTCACAGCGCATCCGGTGAATGAATGTAATTCGCTTCAACCTTTCCGAACTTTATGAAAGATTATTTTATGGAAGGTTCGAGTGGTGTATGTGAAGCAGAATACGGGTGTTTCTAAAGCGCATGTGGTTAAAAACTAAGCTCAGAATCGATTCTGAATCGTTGGAGAGAGAATCGCGATGCATCGATGGATCGATTTTTTCTCCCACCCCTACATGACATTGTGTGCTATCATCTGGGCCATATACCTCAAAAAAATTGTCATCCAAAAGAAAATTCCCTCCAATTCTAAATCCATGGCAAAACATATACGGTTAAAGTTTGGCACATATGTGCTCAGCCATGCCATACCTAGGCCAAATGTGACAGCTATCAGCCACATTTGGCCCAAACGTTCTTGCTATCTGGGTAACATCAAACAAAGCGCGCGTCTCTCACAGCGCATCCGGTGAATGAATGTAATTCGCTTCAACCTTTCCGAACTTTATGAAAGATTATTTTATGGAAGGTTCGAGTGGTGTATGTGAAGCAGAATACGGGTGTTTCTAAAGCGCATGTGGTTAAAAACTAAGCTCACAATCAATTCTGAATCGTTGGATAGAGAATCGCGATGCATCGATGGATCGATTTTTTCTCCCACCCCTACATGACACGCAAGCTATTCTACCTTGTTCTGTGTACAGTACACACAGTCTTGAACTTATGACCTCTAAAGCTTTATTTCTAGCAACACGGATAGTTTTGAGTCTAAGCAGTTTGAAGGATGTGCCTTATTTCATCAAACC